AAAAACAAAAAAAAAAAAAACAAAATTTTAAAAGGGGGGGGGGGGGGGAACCCCCTCCAAATACGTAATTGTCTATTTATCTCCTGCAATAATGTAGGTAATGTTTTAGTACAAGACCTTGATAGTAGGGTTCTTGTAACTTGTTGTACATACAAAAAGTATGTATCATACAGATACCCCAGGCAAATTTCCTTATTTGTTTTATAAAGTATTCTTTCAGGCTTTTTCCGACTCCCCATTAAATTAACTCTGTGCTTCCTTGAATATTTTAATTCAATTTTATGTGTTTGGAGTAGGTGTAGAAATTCAGACTTCAGTATGCAACAGTTAGTCCTATTCAGAGAGCAAGTTGATGCACCCAATTTATCGAATTTCTGATCTGAATCTGATTTACTGAATTGAATTTGGCTTGATTTATTGAATTTCTTTGATTTAAGGTGAAACAGTGAATACCTAGCACTTTTGAAAATCAGATCTAAAAGCTGAATGTCTTAAACTCACTGGCATGTGTGAAAAGCCAGATACTAGTAACTGGAAAAAAGACATTACAGAGTGAACGGGCTTCGTGGCTTGTAATTAACTGTAAATATACTCCAGGCTCTGGCAGGACGCATACTGTGGAATAGTCCACTCCTCAGACATTCCTGAGAGGATCAAGGCTATGGGACCAGAAAATAAGAGCAATGGATAATGGAGCATGACAAGGTTTTTTTGCAGCGTATCTTTAATGAGTGCACATGCATAGCTGGTAGAGTTTTTGCAAGATGCTTGTAACTGTCAGAGGTTGTTTTGTAACGCTGGAGTAAGTTTAAAGCTAATTCTTGACACCTCTGAGCACAGGAGTAGACAGTGGAGTTTGAAGAGAATTATCCAGCTGGTTTAACTGCTCCGTAAAAACGGGAAGAGATTTGTGTAACTGCCGTTGCTTTGTCTGCAAGAGTGATAAAGCCATTCTGCCCGTGAGAAGTCCTGCCTCTCTCCCCACCTCTAGGAAGCATTTCAGGTGACAGCTAGCTGTCTTTGCAGTTTTATGTCTTCTCATTAATCTTCTCATTTATGTAGTGCTCTGTAGCCACAGTTCGGTATGAAATCTCCATCCCCGAACAGTTCATTGCTGCCTCCATTTTTAGGTAAAACTGCTGCAGGAAGAAAATGCAGTTCCTTTCATGATGTTTGTTCTCTGCTGCTTGCACTGCATTTGTTGCCCTCTGGGGCTGCCTACATCTTGTCACAGACAAGGATGTTTCCCTTGTAGCAAAAGGAAACTTGTGGTCATGATGAAGGAGGTGTTGATAGCCACATTCTGTAGCGAAAACAAGTGGCAAACCTTCCAATCTAGTTTTTAACGCTCAGCAAATAGCGAGCTAGCATTCTAAAAAGAAAAGAGAGAAAGTTGGATGCTCAGGCTCCTTGAATAGTTAAGAAAATGGCTGCAATGATCTAGGATTCCGGGATTTATCAGAAACTATTCCTGTAATTGAGCGTATGTGTTACTGTTCTGATGAAGATTCTTCCTACTTGATTTGTATCCCCATGAATGTAGATATGGGGGAGCAGAATTCAGTGCCTGACAAACTTAGTATCTGTGGAATAGGATTTAGCATTCTGCTGCACCTGGGAACCTTATCTGTGGCGGAAAGAAGTCATGGCAGTGTATTTTGGAAGAGCAAGAATGTTTTTTTAGACCCTATCTATGATTTAATGCTTTATTAAATTGCAGTTCATAGCAAAACATAGCAACCACCTTTGATAACTCTCCGTGTTCCCGAATGGTCCCCTGGGAGAAGTGGAAACATAAATACATTGAATTGTCTTTTACAGTTTCAGCTTTTCTTTTGACCATTGTAATGGGAATGAGGTTCAAGAGGTCCAAGAAATTAATGCCAGCCGGACTAGTAGCATGCCTGAGGTAAACATATATATATAAAGATTTCACTGATTTTCAAACAGTGGCCATTTGACATCTGATTCAAGCCAGTACCAGTGGAAGTTACCATCATCCAGCAACTGCGCGGTTTAAGGGAAGTTAGTCTGGAGGCGACAGTCCCGTTCCCAGGGAACAGCTTTTTCATCTCACTAGGCGGATACACCTGATACGGACTGACTTTCTCAGCACAGAAAGGAGAGATCTGCCACTAAGTATTAATGCATACTGATAAGGCTCTTGGAAGAACCTGAGGTAAGCCTCAGTGTTTTCAGACACCTATGCATAAAATTAGCCATCTAATTTCGTACAACACAGCTATCTTAATAAAGACCAACACTTTGGTTTGGAAGTGCTGCATTCAAAACCATTGGAAGCGCAGCATCTTTGAAAACTAGGAGATTTTTGACCTAAGAACTTTGATTAGTATTACTGCAAATTATGATGTTTCTAACCATTCTGACTGCTTTACTGCTGCTGTTTATTTTGGCATTCTGGAAAACATCATTTTCTGTACTTACTCGTAATTTAATTCTAAAATAGTAAGTCGAAACTTTTTTTTCCCCGGTGAGCCTGTAACTGAGAACATTTTTCAACTGAAAGTCAGAATCTCCGTCTTCTGAAGGAATAGTAACTGTTGCTTCGTTGTTACCAGATTTAATATAACACCACTAACTGTTACTCCAATTGCATACAAGGAGGGGAAAAAAATCAGATGCAGATTATCAAGATGCAAAATTAAAGAATCAGGACTTAAACTGGAAAATGTTATTTTCCGTTGTGGATGGCTTTTCAAGCCCAGGTGGACTGTGTGTTTCAACAGACACAGAGGCTGTAGCTTTAGACATTTAGAGATTGCTTCCTGGCTGCTCTAGTGTCAGGTATTTATGAATGTGCTGTCATATAATGACGACTTTCATTGGTTTTGTTCATGGGCAACCTTATTTATGGTTTTTGTTCTGGGTTTTCTTGCAGCCTTTTGATGATTTTGAGGCTCGTTTTTATGCTGCTGTAGAGAATTTAGCAACCTAAGACCTGAAGCATGACTGCCACGCCCACCGAACAAACAGGCAAGCTCTCCGTACTTGAAAGACAAGTTTGAACACAAGTCTTACGTTGCATTTATCTTTTCTGTAAAAGATGTGCACCTGTAATTTGTTTATTGACATCTGGTGATATTTTGCAAGTTTTTTTAAAAAACTAAAACAAATGTTGAGGATATACTTTGATCTACTTCTGTCTAAGCAGTCTGTTAGCGCAAGGGACCTTTCTCTGTAAGTCTGATCTCTATCAGGGGTGCTGAGCGCCCCAAGAAACTGAGTTAGTCTTGCACTGTATCTCTGAGAGGAGAATATACATAAATACACATTTATGCTAAAGAGGTATATTTTATTGAACCGTAATTTTGTAGCTTCTGAGATTAAGTAATTGATCCTAATCATATTGTCAGTTACTAATCAATAGAGGTATATGCCTGTACTGTGTGGCACTAGAAAACCTTTCTTTCAGACACACAGATGCTGTTCCACTGGTTCTAAATGTAAAAACTACTATCAGTGTTCAAATAAAACACAAAATGCTCAAAGCTTCTCATTTGTTTATGCAGACTGGCGAGCCGTTGTGTCAATGGAAGAGTCTGGTGATCTCTGTACTCACTAACCGCTCTCAAATGTGTACCATGCTGTGAATGTGTGAACCACAGCTGAGGACGGGTCACCATCTTGCACAAATAGGTTCTAAACTCTCAGTCTCCATACGTATTAACAGGTTTGCCGCTGTGGTCTTACATGGATCATCTTGCTGAAGCCCTCCCTGTAAGCAAGGAGAGTGTTCTAGACATAAACTATGCAGGGATTGAAGTTGCTTTGGTTTGCATCGAAAATAATTAAATATTCCCTGGGTCTGAAAGCGTGGCTAAGACCACCTTGTGGTGCACAGGAATGTGCAGCCAAACCATTGGCAAATTGAATATGGGAGAGTGCACTTTTGAAGACAGAGAAATTTTACTTCTTTTCATTTTTTTCACACAGAGCTTGCTTCTAAAGGCTACCATATATCAGATCTCCGTGCTGTGGAAAGCCATCAGTGGAATGCCAAGCTTGTTACTCTTGGCAGGGGCTCAGGTGGTGACAAGGTGCTGTGAGCAGCTCAGAGGTCTAAGGCACAACTGACCGAAACAAAAACCCAACAAAAGGCAAACACACACCCTCCCACCCCTCCCAACCCCATACCACAGCCTCCAGCTCTGGAATCTTTTGCTAACAAGTGTTGGTATCAGTCATCTCCAGGTCTCGCCAGGCTTATAGGTGACTGAGCTGGTATGTTGTGGGTTTCAGACCAGGGTGGCAGCTGGATGCGTAAAATGGAGTTCTTTTCATCCTGAAGTAGAATTTCCAGGCAGGTCAGAGGAATTGAACTGCCACGTACCCTACAAAAGCCAATTTGGATATTTGTACCATAGACAAGGTGAATCCTTGTGAAAAGGATCCAGTGAAAAGTTTTGGCAACCTAGTGCTGAAATGCAGAATCACAGAATAGTAGGGGTTGGAAGGGACCTCTGTGGGTCATCTAGTCCAACCCTCCTGCCGAAGCAGGGTCACCTACA